TCCTCTGCTTTCAGTAGTACGGGCCCATACTACCTTCCACATCTATCCGTACTTTCCTCAAGGATTTCCTCGACTCCACCAAGTCCCTTACTATCACTACTGCTCCCAGCACTACTCTCATCCTAGGCTTGCCCTAGGGTAATCACCATCCCACTCTCCGCCATCAGCTGCATAAGAAGTCCCTGCTATCTCCCCCTAACTAGCTCGCAAATACCATTACATATCACTAAGACTAGATAATTCTTCGAATGAGAGGTTCTACCCTATAACGGTTAGACTCAAACGAGAGCTACGAAATAAGGCTAAATCTAACCTTCTAAAATTATTTAGTCCTCGGAAAATGTAACTTATCATATTCGTTTACTAGTTAGTAAAAGATAACCAGAGCTCCTAAAAGCACAAAGCAAGCAGCATTCGATCATTGAGTACACGTAATCAAGCATATCTCATTCAGGCCATCATATCACTGACTAATCAGTACTAGCATGCAGTTCATAAAGCTGAGATACATATAACATGCATATAAGACATCCTTCCTAGATCCTTAGCCCTAATCTAGCATGTAGTTCTCGTAAAGCTAATACACATATAACAGGCACATAAGGCATCCTTCCTAGTGATGGGTTTTGAGCACTCTAACAACCTTAAGGTGCACATACAACCCTAAATGCTTTGGATCTATGTTTTCTCTAATTATACATGCAATTTGATTTTCCAAAGCATTATCCTAACTAGCATACAAAACATGGGTACTTGTATAACAAAAAACTAGTTAGATGACATACCTTTTCTTGTAGCTTGTTTCCTTGGACCTTTAAGAGCCTAGCACCCCAAATGTGATGCCTCAAATGCTTCACACAACACCACCAACAATGGACGACTTGAGAGAGGATTACTTGCACACAAAATCGGCTATGCTCTTCCAAAGATTACTAGTGGCGGATTTCATGTGCTAAGGGGCTTCTTATATAGTGTGACAATGATTAGGGTTACATCCATGTAAATCCTAATGTGCATGACCTTTCATCTTACTTAGGCTCCATGGGTTAAACCTCCATGGACTATCCATGGACTACCATGTTGGTTTAGCCCAACCTAAATAACCATTGGCCCACACTATAAGAATCACTGATTTACCAAATCAACCCCTTACATTTAATTAGTCTCTTTTGATCACTAAATTAATTCCAAATTAATTATTGATCAATACTAATTAAATAATATGATTTCATATTAATATATTAGAGCTTATAATATATTAATAAATCATAAATAACCTCTTCTCAAAAGTCCATCCTTACAAATTGTTCTGGTGAAATGCAACCCAAATGGACCATGCTACTCTTGGGTCAAGTACATACCAATTATAGTTATGGACTTAGACACCTTATCCACCCCCTTTTTCTCTTTTCAAAGTTCTTTTGACTTTTCAAACTTCTTTTTATAAAAATGATTTTCTTTTGAAAATTTTCATACCAAGTCCTTAGTTTGAGTTCAGAAACACCCGAGAGTGTGCCCGAATCACTCAAACCAAGGCTCTGATACCAACTTGAAACACCCCAAAAATATAGACCAAAAATTTCGTTTTAAATCGGTAATAAAAACCATCAATATCATCAATCACATAAAAATCATAGTCATGTATCTCAAAAACATCATCAAATCTGTCAATGTATCAAAATCATATATCATAAAGCAGAATGAATCCTCCCAGGCTAAAAACAGTGGTGTGTGCCATGTAGTCATCTCGACCTCTTCCCCTTACTAGCGGAAGTACCTAAAACCCAAACTGAAAACTGTAAGCACGAATCTTAGTGAGTCTCCCCAAATATCACATACCATACACATAAAACATAAACATATCTTGGGCCCCTCCCCAGCTGCATCGAGTCAAGCTCGACATCGGCTTTCCCGACATCGGGCCCCGCTCGGCATCGAGCAAATCTCGAAATACATAAGAGCATAATCAGTAATACACATAAACCTAAGCACAAAACATTAACACTTAAACATTCCTCGGCTTCGCCCGACATCAGACCGTAATCCGGTAACATACTAACATTCCTCCGGATCGCCCCAACATCGAACCGAAGTCCGGAAACATACAATACAAACACATGCAAGAATAACAAAGACATCAAGCATACAAGCATTCCTCGGGACCGTCCCGACATCGGATCGAAATCCAGAAAAGCATATAAACCTACAACGGGCCCCGCCCGGCATCGGACCATAGTCTGGTATTACTACTATCTAAACGGTCCAGCCTTGGTGCCTTAGACCCGTTCCTACTGGAGGAAACACACCTCAGATGCTAGATGTGAAATCTCGTGTGAGGAATCTCTGACGGCTGCTCCAACGACTCTCCAACTATAAATTTCACAATAACACTTAATCAAAATCTGATAATCCTTCTTAGGGTAAAATGACCCTTTTACCCCTGGTCAAAGTCAATGTCCTGGTTAAAGTCAAAGTCAAGGTCAACTCCCAGTCAACCCAACTCGTCGAGTTACCTCCAAACTCGGCGAGTTCCTGTATTACTCAGACTCGTGGTCAGCCGAGTCAACTCATCGAGTCCCTTGGCAGACTCGTCGAGTTCTACTTGTCATATAATCGGGACAACTCGGCTTCAACTCGTCGAGTCCCTTACTGGACTCGCCGAGTTCCCCTGTCTGTTTGGGCTAACTTAATGGATTAAGCCCCTACACTTCAGATCCAAGCTTCATACTTCACATAAACCCTGAAAATGTCCTTTTAAGGGTAAAGTTTCTGACTTTACCCATTAATACCTCTTTTTAAAGAGTTTAGCTCAAACCCTACTTCCTTAGGACCTCAAACTTGGTCCTGAAACCACCCATACACCAAACTAAAGCTTACAACTTCAGATCTAGACCCCTAACACCACTTGGATAAGTAAAGTTTTCAGCTTTCCTTCCAAGCATGGCCTCTTAGGGCTAAAAAGGCCATATTAATGCTTATAAGCTTGCATGGGGCTTCCATGGTCATACAGTTTGCACCTTTATGCCATGGAACCCTTCCTAGATCCCAGATCTAAAATATAAGTCACATGGGACGTCCAAATCCCAAAGATCAAGGTTCTTGTACCAAAACCCTCATAAAATGGAAGTAAATAGATCTATGGAATGAATGATCAAGTTAGAGACTTGATTACGAGAAAGTGATGAGGATGGAAGGAAACCCCTGGATCTACTATCTTCTCCTTGAACCTTCTAGCTCCTTCTTCTTCTTCTAGCTTCAAGAACACACCAAAACACTCGAGAAGGGCTCACAAACTCACAAGATACTGTAGGGTTTCGTGGATTAGGGTTTAGGACTTGGAGGCTGGAAATGAGGCCAAAAGGTGGGGATTAAGATGCTTAAATAGGGTGCAAAACCCCGAAATTAGGGTTTCACTCTGACAGACCTACTCGCCGAGTCGAGGGCTCTTGACTCGTCGAGTAGGTGGCTGAAATCCCGCGTCCAAGACTCAATTCTACTCAACTAGTCTGGGGCTTCCAACTCGTCGAGTAGCTCTATAAGAATGAATAATTTGTAAATAAATGCGTACCAGAAACCGGACGTTACATACTTCCTCGGAAATACATAGGAAACTTTTTGTCAAAAACATCATGAAATTAAACTTTCAGAAAGGAGTTGTTTCTCGGAAAACCCTTGGGATATGAAAGAAAACGATGTGTGTGGGAATAGTGTCATAACTTCCTTCCGACAACATCTCTTGTCGCAAATGTCTCGGACAAGTTCTCTTAGGAGATGTTTTGAAACAAATTTTGTTTCCTCGGATATGTATCGTAAATATCGTTTCCTATATATGGATTTCCGACGTGTTTTACCCCCACATCAACGGGCCACATTTCTAGTAGTGAAAGGAGACGCAGCACCAAAAAACATTTTAAAAATATATGAACTCCATACCCAATGGGAACTCATTAAGATACAATGAGCATACTCCCTAATTAATGATACATACCCGAATATATCGTGATACATACATGATGCCTAAACATAATGAAACTACACCCTCGATCATTGACACCTACATAGTAAATAGACATACCCAATGAAGAACATACGACGCCAATTAATGAAGACGGACATGCCCAAATAGCCAAATACACACGACGCCAGCGAGGATCAGAGGATGGACACAACCAATACTTAGGGTTTCATGAATCTCAGGGTACAAGAGAAACTCTGAATATTGCCATTTTGTAGTTTCCTATTTTATTTGTATTATATTATAATTATAATAAAACCCAACAATAAAAAGCAACAAATTCCTTCCAATAAGTCAGTGTATTAACCTGCTGTACTGCCATCTTTAAGCTTTGCTGATGTACCTACTTCTGCTGCTAGTTTACGTGGCTAGTGCATTGGATCTGCTGCCTAATTAACACTAGCACTCCTCAGCTGTCTCTCTCATTAAAGAACTTTAATTTTCGATATAATAAAAAATCTGTCGTTGGTCTCGTTCTGATATCGAGAAAGAAAGCTTGTCTACGATAACTTAAAACATGTCGTTTAAAAATCCCAACATGAGAAGGTTTAACTTTAACTAGCAAAGATCAAAATCATGAGATAATTCGTTCTAAAACTAAGGGAACGATGGTGAAAAATCTCTACTTAGAGTCGATAAATAAGTGATTTTAGTGTGAGAAATTAATTGTTGCATTTTTGAGGTATTATTTATTGATCAGTGAAAAAATGAACTCCTAAATATGCCACATACGGATTCATCGGTTTATTAGTCAAGTACATGAAGATGGTTTTCGGCTTTCGCAACCCAGATGAGGATAGAAAAAAAAAAGTTGATGATGGTATACATAATCAATGACATTTATGTGATATCATAAATAAGTCTCTGGGTCACTTTCTAATATCAAGAAAAACCCAAGGTCAAACTGTTTCATTAACCACAAAAAATCAAAATGAGCTTACTCGTACAGAAATTGAGGATACAAAGCTTCTAGTCAATGAATTGATCTGAATTAACATGGCGAACGAACCCCATATATAGTATATGGGAAAAAAAAAATCAAGATTCTTACACTCACAAGTTCAAGCTGCAACCTATATAATTTCGTTTTTGAGGTATTCTTTAGCTAGAAAAGAGTTAACAAAATGAACAGCAAAATACACCACACGGAGTCATCGACTTATTAGCTAAGTACACACATGCAAATGTTTTTCACAACATGTGAAGAGGGTAAAAGAAAAGAACTTTAAAGAGAGCTCATGAATGTCCATTTTCTTCAGAAGGAAAAAGCTTAGGGTTCATACTCAAGTGCAAAGGCCTAACCATCCCTTGGTTTATTGTATATAGAGGTGAAGAAGACAAAGGTTGTTGATGTGAACTTGAAGACGAAGAGCTCAACATCTCAAAGGTTAGTTGTTTTGGATCAAATTGATACCTCACGTTATGATCATGAGATGGAAGTGGGTATGCGATATGATTGAAATTATCACTTGCATTTTCTTGATGATGTGCCATTGACCCATAGCTTCCGAACTGTGATAATGACAAATTTGAAGGATTCAATTTCAAGAAAGAACCATTTGGCACAACATTGTTGCACAAAACTGGTAGAGATGAGGATTGAGTACTCGATTGAACAAAGAAATGATCTTTATTCTCCTTAGATTTATCGGGATTCCAGTAATCCTCCCAATTGAGACCATTAGTATTCGTTCTAACACCTTCAAGATTTTCGGAGTGAGAAGCAACATTGATCATTGATTGAAGATTTTGACCGAAGTTCCCAGATGGCATTTGTAGAGGAGGAAGTTCATCGATTTCATGCTTAGCAACATCGAGCAACCAATCAACAACCTTGCTGGGTTGATTAAGTCCGAGGCGATCTTGAAGATCATATAACTGAATAGCAGTTTGAACAGATAGCCTCACTCGCCTATCTCTTAATCCTCTCACTGTGCAAACTTTACTATGTCTGTCTTTCCCACCAAAGGCTCGTGAAACTCGAACGATTCTTGGATCTCTCAGTTTTGTCCACGAAGATGTTGTTAAATTAGGGTTTGGGATAATATTCTTACCGTTGTTTGTGCTTTTTTCGTCATCCGATTCTCTTGTATTGGAGATATTCATCTCAATTCGCTCATAATTGCAGCTAGTTTTCTTGGATGGAATTGTCAATATAGGAATCCTGCAAGAATCGATAAGAAAGTGAGTTATAAAGCATACTTAACCTGTTGGAAAACATTCAAATCAACTCAAATTTATTGTATTAAATTCAGGAGAAGATCGATCCACACACACACACAAACGCTCACGAAAAAAAGACATACAATAAGAAGAAATCAGCTGGAAAATACTTGATCGAGTCAACTAAAATCTTATTGAATTTAACACATTAACACCCGAAATTCTGCTAGGCAGGTTGCTTCGAATGAAAGAAGAGATCTGAAAGCATGAGGACATTCAAGAAACACAGACAGACAAACAAATTCATCTGAAAAAGCACTTAAAATAGTCCAAAAGCTTACTTGAGCACAAATATCTTGTACTTTGAACAGGAGATGAGCTAGAATTGAAAGCAAAAAACTCCCAAATTTCACTCAGTCCATCCACTAGAATAAACCTAGCTTTTGAATACGGCGAATGGAGAAATGAAGAGAGAGATAGAACGAGGGTATGATGAAGTTGAAGCGTCCATGGTGAATGGATGGAATAGTAAAAGTAAAGATATAAAGCAAAGGCTGGTAGGGTGCCACGCGTGGTGGGTACCTTGAGGAAGATACATATCTATGGTGGTCAAAATTTACACGCAGATGAATATGATTGGATTTGGATTGATGATTAAGACGATAGAGAGTATTAGGGTTAAGGATTGGATTTACATGGCCATGAAAAGCTTGTAAGGTAGGGTTTGCAGAAGTAAATTTATGAAGTAAAAAAGCATAATAATTTTCGAGGGACCATGCACTTATTGAACAGTTGTGCATCGTGCTTTATTGGAAGTTACAAAAGCCAAGGGCATTGTCATTTATAGTCGGTAAAATATGTACAGAAAAGAATCCATTATTTAAGATCCGGAATAAGTTTCTAATATGATTTAATACGGTAATTAATTATGTGTTGCACATTCTTGGTTTGTTAAATGAATTATCATTAACCAAATTGATTCTAACTCAACGGTGTCAGGTGTTGTTCTCCTTCCTTAAGGTCAATGGTTCAAGTCTCATTCGGGACATAAGTTGTATTAAAAGTATTTTAATAGGAATAGATTAGATTTGTCGTTTAAAAAAATGAATTATCATTAAAGTTATTTAAATATATTCAAAAAATAAAATTATAAGCATCTGGTCTTGTAGGTTTTCGGATGACCCTTCTTGTGGATTAATCACTTCGTATGGTAAGAAACTATGTTATGTGTATATATTTTAGCAACTTTTTTATATACAATTTACCGGAAAAGTGACATGTTCGGTTCAAAAAGGCTTCTTAGAGGCTCCTTTCACCCCTGAGGAAGTGAAGGTCGTGGTTTGTCAATGCGACAACGAAACGACTCTAAGCGTTGATAGGTACACCTTTACCTTCAATAAAAGGTTTTAGAACATTATTGGTACTAATGTTCTCCTTAAAGACAAGGATCTTCAGGAATTTGCTACCATCAACCCGAGTAGCAACACGTCCATTATCACCCACATTTCCAAAATAAAGGACACGATTAATTTCATGGAATAGCAGCACCATCAACCTTATAGGTTGTCTTAGTAAGATTGTAGGCAAAACCTGACCGTGAGACTTAAAAATGGCATGGACTTAACTATTAGCCCGTATCAATTTCCATTCATTGAATGAAGGATTTTTTTGGATGGGTTGCTAATTGTGAATAAGATAATTCAATGGGCCAAATGAGGGAAAAAGAAGATGGTTCTTTTAAAGTAGATTTTAACAAAACGTTTTAACTCCCTCGATTCGGGCTTTCTTGATAACCTCTTGTATCTCATGGATTTTCTCCTTAAGTATAGTTTTCTTGCATCTCCTCTCTTAAGATTTAGGTTCTTGTCAACAATTCACCTGCTCAGGAGTTCAAATGTAACACTAGTTTCTCATAATGGATCGGTGGATGATATAAAGGAGTCTAACGCATGAGTTTTTTAGGAAAACCATATGCCACGATGTGGTGCATGGAGTGTCACGACGTGGTATACAAGATGAAGAACATGTTTTTTGGTTATGTGCCACGACGGGGCAAAAGAATGGCCACGACGTTGCGAGAGTTGTAGCCCAAGCCCGTGGATTTTTAGGGTATCTCCCATATTTAAGCACCTCAACTCCCAATTTAAAGGATCCTCTTCAGCCTTCATCTTCCCAAAATGAAACTCTAGCCCCTCTTCCATGGTTATGAGCTTCGTGACTTGATTTTGAAGGGGTTCATATTTTCTTAGTGAAGCTTGTGAAGAAAGGAACTCCTTCTTGGTGCAATGAAGCATAGAGCAAGATTAGATCCATCATCTACTTCAAGTTTTTGAACCTTTGGAGCTAAAAAGCTTACACCTTGACCTTGTTCTTTCAAGATCCATGTTTAAGGTCTTTATTGAGTTGTTTTGGTCCCTTCTTTGAAGCTCTTGGAGTTTGGGGAAACTCCAGAGCTTATTATGGGACTCTTGTGGTCATGAACTTCTGTTAATGGAGGAAAATGGGTATTATCTTTAGTGTACTCGGTCTCATGTTCAAGCTTTGGTCATATTATGAGCTTAATGTACTTTGACTTTAAGATCATGCCTTAGAGTGGAGTCTTAATGGATAAAGTTGGAAACTTTTATTGGATTATGTGTCTAAGGCCATAACTATAATTGGCATGTACTTGATCTGATAGCAGCATGGTCCTTTTGGGTTGCCTTCACCATAGCAACTGGACAGGATAAGTTTTGGAGAAAGAGGTTAATTAATGGTTTATTAATATATTATAAGAATAATATATTAATTGAGAAATCATATTATTTAATTAATATTGATCAGAAATTAATTTGGAATTAATTTAGTGATCAAAAGAAACCGATTAAATGAACGGGGATTGATATTGTAAATCAGTGATAGTTGTAGTTTGGGCTAATGGACTATATTAATAAGGGGTGGACGAAAATATATGGGAAGCCCACAGAGTTTTCGTCCAAGGCCTATCATATGGGGGTCTATGGATTGCTTAAGGGCTAAGCAAGGGAATTAGGGTTTCCAGTTGACAAGCCCTAGCAGCCTCAACTACAAAAGGAACCCATAGCCTCTTGAAATCGGCGACTGGATTCCTAAGAAGAAATCCTAGCCGATTTATTGCTCCATCTCCCTCATTCTTTACTTGTGGTGTTTGTGACTCCATTAGAGGTGCAACGCTTGGGGCACTAGGCTTTCGAAGGTCAAGGAATTGAAGTGTGGATTGCTTGTTACTACTAGCTAACAAGAAAGGTATTCATCTAAACCCTAATATGATTAGATTTCGATTTTATATCTTAGAATTAGGGTTATTTCTTTGGAAAATTAATTTGTATGTATAACTTGACAAAAACCTAGATCCAAAGCAAATAGGGTTGTATGTGCACATAGGAATGTTGTAATGCTCAAAACCCATCAGAGGAATCAAAGCTTAGGGTGTTTTTCTGTTATATATGATGCAATTGTAATTTGTTCAAAGCTGAATCAAAATCGTTTTGCTCACTGTCTGCTGAACTTGACGATTCCAAAGATGAACTCGACGAGTTGGACCAACTCGACGAGTCCATTCCCTGACTCGACGAGTTGGTTCGTCTGTTGGCAGATTTTTTGGATTTCACGCCAAAATTAGATAATGATCATTACCTTAAATTGTTTTAGCTGTATAAAATTGAATTTTCCGATATGGTAATGGATATCCTCATCTAATTAAAAGATAATGGTCAAATTTTAAGATAATGTTCAAAATTATGTGTTTAGTTTAATTATTTGAAATTTGATCTATAAGTTTTGAAAAGTTTCAAAATTTGCTCTCAGGTTTTGGAATTTAAATTTTGATTAAAAGTTTTTAATTTTGAAATATTAAATTCTAAAACCCTAGTTTTTCAAAAGTTTAAAATACAATCCTTATACTATTATAATATTAAAAAAATTAATATATATATATATATATATATATATATATATATATATATATATATATATAATCTATATATATATATATATATATATATATATATATATGTATAAGATGAGTCAGTCTTACCGTTAGTAGGCCTCATTCACGAAGCTGGTCTATAAGGGGTGTTTAAGGAAGCGGCCTATGATATGATCGCCATTGGGTATCCACTCTTACCCACCGCACTCTTTACTAGTGGAGGGTCATTAGCCGAACGGGTAGGATATGATATTAATTCTCTCATTAATAAGTATAATGATAATAAAAAAGTAACTAAGGTGGTGTTTGTTTTTTGTCCGCAGATCTTCTTAGCCTCTTCTGTCTGCGCAACGCAGACCACGCGCATACATTAGTCTTCGCAGACTGTTTGTTTTTTTGAAGACTGCTGACCTAAAAATGTATGCGCGTCCTCTTCTTGGCGCAGATGTGGACCAGAGTCTTTTAACATCTTCAGACATCTTCTAGCTTAAAAAAAACACATATATCTTGATTTTTTTTAGATTTTTTGAATTTATATTTATTCCAACTTTATTAATGATAAACAAATTGAAAAAAAAGTTACAACACTTAAAAAAAAAATTCGACGACACAAATATGATATTTTTCACAAATTTATAAATAAAAATTTATAAGAATAATGATCATTGAAGTTGTTTATATAAATATGAAAAAAAATCATAATATATTCTTATATTTTTTGTGCCAAATTTTATAAAACATTATGTAATACGATATCGTCAATTTCTTAGAAAAACATTTATGGTACGATTTTAATTGATTTAATTCAAAAAATCAAAGTTTATTTCCATCAATTTATGTATCAAATTCTTTGATTCACAATTACAATGTTTAGGTATAACTTTGCGACCAAAATTGTTGGTTTTTATCAAATATATACGTTAATTTGTACCATTTTTATTTTCACTTTTTATACAATAATACATTAAAGTTGATCTAGATTTGTTAATTATTTATAATAAAGTCATAAAAATATTAAAAAATCACCTTGTAGTTAGAACAATCACTTTATTTTGATTTTACCTTATTTTAGTAGTTTGCAGATGTTAAAAAAACAAACAGTCTTCTTTTTTCAGACTGCAGATGTTTGGTCCACCTCTTCTGCTGCAGAGGTCTACAGATGTGGTCCGCAGACTGCAGACATTTTGCCTTAGAAAAAACAAACAGCACCTAAATATTTTTACAAATTCCCAGTCTTAGTTACTTTAGGAAAAATGTGAAATTGATGCTAGTCCATGAAATTACACTTTGCACCTTGCCAAGTCGTTAGTGGAGCGTGTGTGGTTAACCGGCACACTAACTTGGATTAACAAGGGTGGCTAAGGGTAGCTCATAAATTATCATAGATCAATGGAGCGTGTGTGGTTAACAGACACATTGATTAGGCGGTAAATGACATGGAGAGAGCCAAGCTAATTTGCGTGGTTATTCACACCTTGTTTGTGATCCTCGGTATCCCAGTCACAAACTTGAAGGGTATAATCGAGGTTAAACATGCCATTGAAAAGTTCAATGAATCTCATAAG